GGGGCGCGGCAATATTGCATTCGATCATAAATAATCGGAAACGCAAAGGTTTGAAATTACGATTCAAGCTTTTCACGGAAAAGTGCAGTCTTGCTAATGGTGACTATGGTTATGGAAAGGTCGTTCCATACGCGGTTGACACGTGGTACGACTGAGTTAATGAACGCGTTGGTTGACCCGGTGAGGTGTTGAAAGATTTCAGTGTTAGTGGTACGATGAGATGACCTATTACGGGGTTCAAGGAAAGTAACGCTTCAAAAACAATTGCTATAATGGAGCTTGTGAATTAGGCGCAGAGTAGAAATGGTTGAACTAACTTTAAGCAATGGTAGAGAACACTGATATTTTACGATAGAGACGCTTATGTGATATAAATAGGAGGATGCCATTTATCACGCTGCTCGATACTGGACTTTTTTAATGTGCGTGGTTAGGCATTTCTGATTGGGGCTCCAAATCGCTGCAGCATATTCGAGTTTCGGACGAACAGTTGTTTCGTAAGTAAGTTTGCGGAGGTGGTTAGGGGTTGTTTTAATGTTACGTTCGATATAACCGAGAGTTCTAGATTTGTCGGCGGTCACAACGTTAATATGTGTGACCCACGAAAGGTTAGAAGTACGAAGAACACCAAGATACTTGTAAGATGGACACACACTCTGAGATGATGTGCCTAATGTGTATGGGAACTGCGAAAGAGATCATTGGCGAGTGAAGTATATTACCTGGCATTTGGATTTATTTAGTAGCATTAGCCATTCTTCTCACCAGTTATTAATGCTATCAAGATCATGCTGGAGTAGTATGTGGTCATTTGGAGCGTTAATCGTTCTGTAGAAGACAAAGTCATCCGCAAATATACGTACATTAGAACACAAAGCATTTGGAAAGTCGTTAATGTGGATAAGAAATAATAAAGGGCTCAAGACGCTTCCTTGCGGAACGCCAAAGGTCACTTTAGTAAGTTCAGATTGAAAGTCACCACACAGAGTATACTGACAGCGAAACGATAGAAAATTTGTTAATTCATGAGTGTGTTAAGATATGAAGATGAAGTGGAGAGAGCTTAGACAAAAGGCGACAGTAGGGAACGCAGTCGAATGCTTTAGAAAGGTCTAGAAATATTGAACCAGTTTGAGAGTTAGGGTTCATGTTCAGATGGAGGTCATGGGTGACATCCAGAAGTTGCACTTCATAAAAAAAGCCTCTACGAAAAGCATACTCATGCTTATCAAATAAATTGCTACACTCAAGATAGGATGCAACATGCGAAAAAAATATATTCAAGTACTTTGCACACAACATAGGTTTAAGGGGTGGGACGGTAGGTCTCTGCGAAGTGGCGATCTCCATTTTTCGGAAACCGAAACGACTTTTCCTATCTTTCTGTCGTCTGGAATGATACCAGCGAACACTGATTGTTAAAGGCGTAGATTGCAAATTTCACTGGATATGCGTTTTGTATTTCTAAGCAGCTTAGAATAAATTGTATCGGTGCCAGCCGATGTAGTAATTTTTAAGTCATCTATAATCATTTCAATTTCGGAAGGGTGATATCAAATCTGACTCATGAATCGATAGCTCACGACACTGATAACAAGCACTGTGAACGTATCCTCCTGTGTAAACATTGATGCAAAATGATTATTCATAACAACAGAACATACAAAAGCAGAAATAGTATCACCTTCCCGGTTTGTCAAGATATTGCGTTTGTGGTTTCGTTTCGTGCAATAAGCTTCCAAAATTTTTTAGGGTTGTGGTTTAATACGAATGGTACGTCGCAGTTATAAAAATTGTCCTTTAAATTTTCTTAGGCGATTATCATGAAGCTTTTAACACGAGATATAGTTGGAGCAAGCTTAAACACTGTTTAATTTCCTCCGTTGTTAATTCCGCTTTTTCCGAAATGTCATTTTATTTTACGCCTTAATTATCTGACAGTGTTGGTTCGCCACAATAAAAAGAACAAGGTGCATTCCGAAGCAAAGCTAGCACAAACTATAACCCTTCTGTATTTTCTTATTATTTACTCGACATTTAAAAAAAGGACATACAAATTAGCGATATGTCGAAAATTTCCTATTTGCTCTGAATGTCATATAACAGGATTTGAAGTCGTCGTTTTTTCTCTTTTATTTCGAGTCTAGTCTCAGCTGCTTCCAATACCGAGGCAAAGCTGAAAGCGCTTTTCCGCAACATCTGAGTAAACTGCAAAACACATCCATGTCGTGTTCGTGCTAAAAGTTTCGTGCATTCTTCAGGGTCTCTTGCCAGGGGTTTGACATTCCCTAGCATTTCTAGCCGACATATTGTTGTATTTAGTAAACAAAGTTTGCTCCATCTGCAAGGTAAGTGTGAGCGCATATTAACTTGTAAGTCGGCGCTAAAACTGGTTTGTGTCAGGGTAAAGCTTCATGCAATTTTTGTTCGTCTACTAACCCGAGACCGGGAAGTTATAAATTAGCAAGTAAACACTCTCTGAAGCATTTCTGAAAATCAGAGGTCAACATAACATATGATTGGCATCGCATAATTGAAAGCATGCGAAAAAACCCTGCAGCATAATATGTAATAACACTTTATCTGTATACGTTGTTGCGAAGCTTTGAAAATAAACCTAATTTAGTTCCTTTACATAACTGCCGGAACTCAAAGCAAAAGTATACAGAAGCAATTTATGTACGCGCTAGATGAAAAAGAAAAACCTAAAAGTGAAAATATTCTTTTTGGTCGGGTACATTATAATTTTTCTTCTTTTTTCTTAATCAGCAAAGTTTCAGTTTCTCAAATGAAGACCCCGTCTTTTTTTTCCTTTTTTGTTTTTTCTTACACTCCAAGATTCATTATCCTAAAAAAGATATTCGGGAAATACATTACCGGCTGAACGAAAGAAAAATCGGATAAAATAAAAACGACTCAACAGCCGGACTGCTCAAAACCTCGGTAAGGACGTACGCCCTTGATCACGAAGGTTGAAAGCTCGAAACATGCGAGACCATTCTGGCAGACTAAAATGCATTAACACACAATTGGCGTTCTCCAAAACAGGAGGAACCGCTGCAATTGAGCCCCCCTTCCCCCCCCCCCTCGCCCCCCAAGAAAAAAAAAAAACGGTAGTAATGGATTGGTGAAGGAGGAATTCAGAAATTTTCAGAAACGAGCGTATCGAGAGAGAAAAGGGAGAACAAAGATGACGTGGTTTAAATAAAGTTCACTCGTAGAAAATACGAAAACAGCCAGTACTAAAATAGCGCGATAGTTTTTAAACAAAAAGGCAAACATGCCCCGAGCCTCGCTGAAACGAATTAAAAGCTTCGCAGCAAATTCCAAGCGGTACAAGCTAATTAGCTCTTCATAGGTATCGGCCTTTGTATTTTTCTGGCTGCACACAAATACTTTTTCTTCATTTTTTTATTTTTTATTTGTTGCGAGATCCTCGTGACTAAGTGGGACTCGAATACGAAGAGAATAAAAATAAATCTTATTGTACACTTTAATTTATATATATAAATATATATATATATATATATATATATATATATATATATATATATATATATATATATATAAATACATATAAATATATATATATAGAGAGAGAGAGATATATATGTATATATATTATAAGACGCTGCTCTAAGGGAACAAGAGAGGAGGACAAAGAAAGGCGCATGAAAGAAAGGGATATTGTTCTTCGTTTAGGAAGTAATTGTCATTGCATTTCTCGATTAGAAATTAGCCCTCGGCAAAATGGCAACTGGTTAGGGCAGAGTGCAGGATGGCAGCACTTTAGCTCGGAACAAGTGAAACGATTTTCGGGTTCCGGGCACCGCTAATGTCGACAAGTCATAATAGGTTCTTTTTGTGTGTGTGTGTGTGTGTGTGTGTGTGTGTGTGTGTGTGTGTTTTTCGCTACGGTTTAATGGTCTTTTCTATCTCCTACTCTTTGTGTGACCTCGTCCGAGGGTATTGATATGTAAGAGAATAATACGCTTAATTCAACCTACATTGCGCTTTAATTTAATCGCGGTATTGATTCGTAAATATTTGTTAGGTCTCGAGCTTTTGATATAGCAGCAAAAATTAGAAATCGCATAAATCATTTGGCCTTAACACCAAGTTTTAATGTATAGCATTAATACTAATATTCAATGCTAACTTTTACCGCTTCAATATTAACATATTTTGCAACTGCTAGTTAGCTGTATTTTATTGTGTTTTTCTGGATGTGAAAATGAAGTGTGAGTTAAAAAGGTCATTTGCTCTTTGAAAGATTAGCATAAATCGGTTTCTGAACGCATCGAGCTCACATTTTACATAGAGGCGGCGGGATAACGTACGTTCAGAGCACTGATCTCTATCCTCGCGGGCTGGATCGCGTGTCGGGAACCCGACTTTGCAACCACCGGTGGCCATTACGTGACACCAAGCGATACATGGACGTGTACGGGAGGCATGAATAAAATTGAAAGTTTTTCAGCCAGTGTGAATCGCCATCGATATTAACATTTATGAAGTCTCGCAGGAAGAGTAGGGGAGAATGTTCAGTTGCTAGTAACTGCTGAGAAAGTTACTAAATGGCTCTGTTGTGAATTGTAAATTGGAATCCTCCTTACGGGAAAAAGCCGCACAGTGCACGTGTAAATATGTGGTTAACGAGAACGAGGAAGACGAAGGAACGGTTTGGAAAAAGGCAGATCGAAGAAGGAGATGTACGGAACGACTGCGATGACCGACACCCGTAGATTAACTTCGCCATCTAAATAGTACATTTATTTTGTTCCTTACTGTAAGTTTTTGACGTTCAATTACTGCCACAACTGAATGGTGCCGAAACCCGGGACTTCATGCCAGGAACGACCCTCACCGAAACGAAGTCAATTGCTGAGCAGCAAACGAGTGAACGCCATGGACTAACCTCGAACGAAATTTGTATCGACATCGAAACAAGTAAGCAACCCTATTACCCGAAGCTTACCAACCTCTCGATTTATTCAAACATGGAAAGGGTGCGAACGAAAAGGACTGCTCGCAGAGGACAAAATACCCGAATTGTCAGAAAGGCCACCGCAATTCTCAACGCTGCGGATGTGATTCAAATCGAGGCCATAGCAATAAAGCTTGAGGTAAATTATGAAGAACTCAAGAAGCTGAACACCGAGCTCGAGCCCTTCATTGCTGATGGAGATCTCGAGAACGAATACCAGTCGTTAATTGAGTACGAGGAAGAAACGACCCACACCTTGAGCATGCTTCAAAGTCGAGCAGTGCAACTACGTTCTGGTGAACCAGCGCGACCATCAACATCGGCAATAGCCTCGCGAAGCGAAGAACGAAGACGGAGCGGTATTAAACTACCGAAGTTGCAGCTGCAATCCTTTAAGGGCGAGCTTGCTGAGTGGCAGCCATTTTGGCAACAATTCAAGCGTGCCATTCACGAAAACGGAGAGCTGTCAAGCGGCGAGAAGTTTCAATACTTAAGGACGCTGGTTAGTGGACCCGCCAAGGCATCTATCGATGGTCTCCAAGTGACGGATGCGTGCTACAACGACGCAATTGAAATCTTAGCTAGACAGTTTGGAGACTACAAGCGAATCCAGCAAGACCACCTTACAAAGCTTCGAACGCTTCCGAGTGTCAACTACTCAAACGACACCAAGGGTTTGAGGAGACTTTACGATCAGGTGCAAACCCACATCCGCGGTCTTCATGAACTTGGTGTCAGCTCAGACAGCTACTCGACCATGCTGATGGACATTGTCATCAAGGCTCTTCCATCTGAAATAGTGGTGGATTTCTAGCGACGTGCTGGCCATTCTGAGAGGAAGACCGTCCATCCGTATGAGGGAGACGTGGCTGCTCATTCATCTCCACCCACATTACACGCAGAAGAACTGGGGTCAATCTCAGGTACTTCCAGACCTGCTGAGCTGTCCGCCAGACCAACACCTCGAACTGAGGACGTTCAACTGAACAGCAGAAGGGCGGAGGCAGATTTGCAGCAGTTGCTCGAATATCTGCTAATCGAGATCGAGAGTAGAGAAAGATCTGGTGTCAGAGATGATCGTCCACCAAGAAAAAATCGAGAGCAAATACATCAACGAGCTCATCTTCCGACTTCTGCGGTTCTCCATGCCAAAGCTCAAGATAAAAAGAAGGAGTGCATTTTTTGCAAACCTACATGACACAGCACGGTAAACTGCACCAGTAACATCTCTCTAATGGAGAAGAAGAAGAAACTCTCAGGAGAGATGCGGTGTTTCCGGTGCACCCTAAGAGGGCATAGGTCAAAGGACTGCCACAGGAAATTGTCTTGCACTTCCTGTGCGGGGCGACACGCAACATCCATGTGCGATCCGACCTGGAAGCCTTCAGCGAACACGAATGCAACACAAACCATGACGACTAGCGTTCAAAGCGCTGGCACTGCTAGCACTGAGATTTCGATAGACGACGACGTCCTACTTCAGACCTTTCGAACCTGGGTGGTCGAGGATGGGAATACTGTCTACGCACGTGCCATCTTAGACGGTGGAAGTCAGCGAACGTTTATACGAGAAGACGTTTCTCGCAAGTTGAATCGTAAGGTGCTAGGAGAGACCAGACTACGCTTGAACACCTTTGGAAGTTCCACTTCACTGCCGCAAAAACGAAGGCTGGTTCAAGTGAAGCTGCGTAGTCAGTACAACAACGAAGAATGCAGCGTTGAAGCGGTAGAAACGCCATTTATATGCGAGGACATTGTTCAGATACCTGTAAACCATGAGTTCGTCCGCAGCATTGAAGAAGACGGAGGCTGCATCGCTGACAAACTTCTCTTTCCCGGCGTTCCTACTGAACCAGGCATCAGCCTGCTCATTGGGTCGGACCAAATCTGGAAAGTCGCCAGTGAGCGGGCGCAACGTTGTGAAAGCAACTGCAGCCTGATGGCTTTAGACACTAAATTTGGGTGGACATTTCAAGAACCCGTAACGCTGCAGTGCTCGCTTACTGGTCGCGCCAACACGATGATGTGTATACTAAAGATCGGAACCATCGAAGTCGTAGATGATGCGACCTTACGCAGCTTTTGGGATATCGAAAGAATAGGAATAACAGACAACGCGTGTAGCTCAGGTGAAGAACAAAACGAGGTGTGGAACGACTTCAAACGAACTATTGCAAAAGTGAATGGACGGTATGAGGTGTGCTTGCCATGGAAACCTAACGCAGGGGAGCTAAACGATAACCGAGCTACATCTGTGAAACGACTCAAGGGATTGCAGAAGAGGCTATCACGCAACGAGTCCCTTTCCAAAGAATATGGCAACGCTATGCTTAACTACCTTAATGATGGACATGCGGAGAAGGTTCCCTCAGAGTTACCATGCACAAACTCACGCACCTACTACATGCCCCACCAAGCTGTGATCCGAATGGACTCCGAAACTACAAAACTGCGAGTTGTGTTCGACGCGTCGTCCCATGCAAATGAAGCTGCTTCACTGAACGATCATCTAGAGAAGGGGCCCAACATGAACGCGGATCTACTCGAGGTTCTAATACGCTTTCGAACGTATCCTATTGCTCTCACAGCAGACATAGAAAAGGCCTTTCTTCAAGTGAGCGTGAGACCAGAGGATCGTGACGCACTCCGTTTTCTGTGGTTTGACACTAAGTATAAAATGTCAAACAAAGAGCCACCAACTGAAGAATGGAGAATGACACGCATGCCATTTGGAACATCGGCAAGCCCATTCCTTTTATCGGCTACTCTGAAACATCATTTTCAAAGTGTGACAGGAGATATGAAGGATACTGCAAGACTTCTTCAAAAGTCATTCTATGTAGACGACTTGCTCTTGGGAACGAAAACAATCGAAGAGGCTACGGATTTACATAAGCAAGCCAATGAGATTTTGAAATCTGCAGGCATGACACTGCGAAAATGGGCAACCAACGCAAGACGTTTTCAGGATACGCTTAACGATGGTCATAACACGTCAACGTTTTCAGAACCCAGAGGAATTCTTGGACTGCGATGGAGGAGGGATAAGAACACTTTGATGATTCCAGTCAAGAATGTACTCAACTTCATCAACAGCAACACCACAACGAAGCGTTGTGTACTACGTGCTGCAGCGAGGGTCTTCGACCCACTTGGTCTTATTTCCCCGTTTGTAATACGGGTGAAGGTTTTGTTTCAGCGATTGTGGGAACGCGGACTTAACTGGGATGAAGAGCTTCCTGAAGACCTCTCAGGAGACTGGCAACAATGGTGCAAAGAGGTTTCACAGATAGAAGATATTGCGACCAACCGGTGTGTCATGAGCGCACAAGAAGAGCACAAGACGTCTCTACAGCTGCATGTCTTCTGTGATGCCAGTCCCCTCGCTTATGGAACATGTGCCTACCTGAGGGTGAAAGAAATGAATGGGAAGACAGATGTCAGTCTGGTATTCTCTAAGACTAGGGTAGCGCCTATAAAACGCTTGACACTTCCGCGCCTGGAGCTTATGGCGGCAGTGATTGGGAACCGAATAGGCAACTACCTGAAGAAGATGATGGACCTCCAGGAAATATTCTTCTAGACAGACAGTACTATTGCTCTTCACTGGATCAAGGGTTCAGCAGTGAAATGGAAACCTTTCGTGTCTAATAGGGTTACCGAAATTCAATCTAGAGGGAAACCGGCCAGTTGGAACCACTGCCCTGGACTTGACAACCCTGCGGACTTTATGACACGAAGAATATCAATAGACAAATTACGAACGAGTCAACTCTGGTGGAACGGCCCTAGGTGGCTCTCTGAAGATAGAAACACCTGGCCAGGTGTCATTACAAGCGAAAATATTCCGACAGAAGTATAAGAAGAGGAACGAAAAAGTAAACATCAAGTGCTTCAGGTACAAACCAAAGTAACGACACCTCTTTTGAAGCTGGAACGATACAGCAGAATAGGACGACTACTACGAGTCACTGCATGGATAATGAGGTTCGTTAATAACTGTAGAACGCCTCAAAATCGCACCAAAGGTCCTCTAATAACTGGAGATTGAAAGGGCAGAACTGCATTGGGTCAGGCGAACGCAAGAGGAGGCTTACCCCAAAGAGCTCAACGAACTGCTGGAGGGAGGGAGACTAACCGAGAAATCCAGCATCATCGCTCTCGACCCCTACCTTGACGCACACAGGCTCATGAGAGTTGGCGGGCGGCTACAAAATATGAACCAAGCAGTGGAGATCAAGCACCCATTACTACTGCCACCTGAACATCCTTTCACTGAACTGCTGATTAACGACATGCACAGGCGTACACTACATGGAGGACTTCAAGACACTGTGACACAGTTACGTGAACTTTATTGGGTGCCAAGGGCACGACAAACCGTCAAGAGGGTTATAAACCGATGCAACGCCTGTGCGAGGTCAAGAGTCAAAAGAGCATCAGCACCGACCGCACCACTTTCAAAAGACCGCGTAAATGAGGCGAGCCCATTCGAAGTAGTAGGAGTGGACTTTGCCGGACCTTTGTTTTGTCAGATCCGGACACTCCGAGAAAAAAGCATATATAGCACTATTTACTTGTGCAGTTACTCGTGCTGTTCACCTGGAACTACTTACAAGCCTCGCAACTCCAGCATTTCTCATGGCCTTTCAGAGATTTACAGCAAGGAGAGGGACACCTAGAGTAGTTTACAGCGACAACGCCTTGACTTTCAAGAGAGCCTCAAAAGACGTCCGCAACTTATAGAACGTGCTGAAAGACAAAAGACTACAAGCCACTACGAGAGAAAATGTCACCCGGCGTTGGAGGAGGCATCAACAACTGCTAGACCACTTTTGGCAGCGGTGGCGAAAAGAATACTTGCTCCAGCTGCGATCAGCACACGAAACAACTTGTCGCCGAAACAGTTGAGGAGAACAAAACTCCCAGACACCTGTGGCGGACTGGACGAATTGGGCAGGTATTCTACGGCCTGGATGGTATAGTGCGATCATGCGCTGTGAACTTGCCAGGTGGACAAGTGTTGAAAAGACCCGTTCAACTTTTATATCCCCTAGAGCTTTATATTGGATGAGCGATCTAATAACGCTCATTTGGGGGCAGTGTGTTGTGAATTGTAAATTGGAATCCTCCTTACGGGAAAAAGCCGCACAGTGCTCGTGTAAATATGTGGTTAACGAGAACGAGGAAGACGAAGGAACGGTTTAGAAAAAGGCAGATCGAAGAAGGAGATGTACGGAACGACTGCGATGACCGACACCCGTAGATTAACTTCGCCATGTAAATATACTTCGTTTCACCCTAAGTGCGAGCGCGGCCGATGTTATGAGCAGAAGGGCCAATCGGACAGCGAAAGAGGCACAAAGTCATGGCGTGCTCTCCGCCGGTATTCGCTGTCTCTCTGTGCGTGCTCCTCCGCCGGCTAGTCCTATCAAGCGTAGAGAGCACGCCATGACGTTGCGCTTATTGCGCTGTTTGATTGGCCCTTCAGCTCATAACATCGTCCGCGCTCGGACCTAAGGTGAAACGAAGTATAGTAAATTTATTTTGTTTCTTACTGTAAGTCTTTGACGTTCAATTACTGCAAGAGGCTCAAAATGCGTTTCCAATCTCTGCAGTTCACTGCTATGGACGGAATACGTCAGCTCGACTGTTTTGAAACGTTGCAGTAATGCTTCAAAACCGAATTTTGCTTAAACTAACTCGCAGCACGAAGACAGTTTTTTATGATACTATTTTAAAAAGAGAAGTTACTCTGGCAAGCAGGAGTAGGTACATCTTCTGCTTTGATTTGAAAACAAAAGTTATGCCACA